AATGAGGTCAAGGTCAGATGAAACCTGCTAGACTGACATGTACATCTTACAATCATTCCATACAACACATACAGTTGTACTTATTGTACTTGTTCAGTAATAGTCACCACACGAGTTAGTTTTTTATACTATGATTTGTAGTCATGCTGAAAAATGTATAGTCAGTTATGTAATAGTTAAATGAACAATCAAGTCGGTATAATCTAGTTATACTGCTCAGCTTTGGTGATCATATTTGACCCGAACGACGCCATGAGTCGGGTCAACAGGCCACCGAGCTGTGCAGTGTAACTAACATTTATACAAATTTGATCGGTCAGTAACTGTTTTATGTCATGACGTAACCAATTTACATAGATATAAGAAGATGTGGTATGAGTGCAAATGAGACAACTCTCCATCCAAGTCACAATTTGTAAAAGTAAACCATTATAGGTCAAAGTACGGCCTTCAACACGGAGCCTTGGCTCACACCGAACAGCAAGCTATAAAGGGCCCCAAAAATTACTAGTGTAAAACCATTCAAACAGGAAAACCAACGGTCTAATCTATATAAAAACGAGAAACAGTTATGAACCACACCAACAAACGACAACCACTGAACATCAGGTTCCTGACATAGGACAGGTGCAAACAAATGCAGCGGGTTTAAACGTTTTAATAGGCGCCAACCTTCACCCTAACCTGAAACAATAGTGTAACATCACAACATAGAAAGACATACTATAAAATATCAAGTGAAATGGCTTAACTCAATCAAAAGCCATATTAACAAAAACAGGTGAACAGGTAAATAAAAATAATTTTGTTGCAAGGTATACATGGAGCAGGAAATATTTTTCCAAAATTAATGATTTTGTTGTTCATAATACGAGAACAGAAGTGAAAATTTATCGTCATACCAAACACTTATCAAAGGTGGTATATATTAAAAATAGTGAGACGAGATATAACACTAAATAAGTAAACATTAAATAACAAAAATGCATTACAAATTGTACCAACAGGTCAAATTAACACGACAGTACGATTTGAGAGTACTCGCAGTTACTGAAAGCCAGTTAAAAGCCAAAAACAATTAATGATAAAAAATCATGCATCAGAGACTAAAATCAACTGAAACACATCCCAGGGATATAGTGTTTTAACGTCATGGACAGTCAAAGAAGACATGACTTGTGCAATGCCAAAATAAAAGTATCGACAGCCAGTAGGATAGTTAGGAGTTAACCTTTTAATAAATATGTATAATGTTATATATATATAGAAAGAGTAATCTCTATATAGAAAATGAACGTGCAAGTGTATTTATACATACAAAAAAAACCAAACAAAAAAACAAAAAAAAACGTTTGAAAAGAATACAAATTTAGTTATGTTTTAATTTGCTGATGACAAAATCGATATTTGTGCCAATGTAAACTATATTCAAAGATCTAATTACAACATTGGTAAGATAAGCTTTACTAATAAGTATATATATTTAAAGGTTCGATGAGTTTACACGGATCACATAGTGATTTCCGCGCTTTTAGTACAATATTACCGTAAAATTTAGGATGTGAAATACCGTTTTTAATAAGTTTTCTACAGGTACAGCCAAATTTACTAATAAAATCTTTGTATCTATGAAAGAATTTAGTAAAAGTTTGAAGTAATTTATGGTAACGAAATCCCTGACTCATGCCTCGTTCACACGTACATTTAATTCGAATTGAATTCGAATCGAATGCGAATCAGTCGAATTCGCTAATCGCGTTCACACACTCTTCTTTTTTAATTCGCATTGATTCGAATTGGCTAAATCGCATTATCCAATTCTCATTAGAAATGCGTTTTTGTTAATACGAATTAAAAGTTAACGTCGTTAGGACAGTAAAGCGACAAGAACGGTTTTGTATTTTTATTTCAAGCAAACATGCGGACGATTGTGTCAGTCCTCGCTCATAAGAAAGTTATTTTGTATATAAAAAGGAAAATACGCCTTGGAAGACGAAACACTTTGGTAAGTTAAACATTATTTTTTTTTAATTTTCTGGCTTTTTTCTTTGCTATTTTGCAAACTGAGTTTTAATGGCAAATCTTTGATAGCTTCTGTTGAATTTACTCACACTTTTTATAAGCCCGTATTATGGCATACCGTTGTCTGTCCGTCCATCGTCAACATGTCGGACAATAATTCAAAAATGCTTTAACCAATTTCCATAAACTTTGGTGAATTGTTTATATCTATTGACGTAAGCTCCCTTTCGTTTTTTTTATTCTAGATTTTACGTTTCCGAGTTATGAGATTTTATTCATAAAAAAGAGGGATTTTCCAGTTTTCAGAAAATAACTCAAAAATGCTTTGAAGGCCGTACGGTGACCTATAGTTGTTAATTTCTGTGTCATTTGGTCTCTTGTGGAGAGTTGTCTCATTGGCAATCATACTACATCTTTTTATATTTATATTTGAGCAGTTTTCGTGAAACTTTGGTGACTGGTTTATATCTATTAAAATAAGCTCTCTTTAGTTTTTTTTTTATAAATTTCTGATATGAGATTGAGGAGTAATGGACTTTTATTCGTTGAAAAAGCGACGGGTGTATCATGCGGTCATGGTGCAGCTCTTTATTAATATAGATTTAGAACTTGACATATAAGGTAGACACTTGACTATTGTTGAAACTGCATTTTGCCTTCTTGGTGTCCTGTGGTCTATTTTTGTCGTTGGGTTAATTGCTGTCTCCTTGGTGTAAACCCCATTCTAGTATATCTGTCTATTCATATGATTTAAGTTCTGTTTGATGTACTTCAAAATCGTTTCATAAAGAAATCATAACTTTAAATGGTTATTACGTATCGGTTAAGTAAGATTTTTTCAGTGCAGAGGATTATTTAATTGAAGAGGTTTGCCAAAGTTTATTGAACAAAGTAAAACGGAAAAACTGTGTAATATTTTTTTTCCTATTTTACCTCCCCCTTACTTTTTCAACTGTTTTCGACGACCAATTTTGAAGACGTACAGCATTAGAACGAAGTATATTATGTGTTTTCCCGTTTCGGCTCACATTTAAAGTATATCCGTATTATATTCGGACCCGAAATAGTATATACCTTAACAGAACTACATATTTAAAAAGTCGCAATGAATCCCGTTGAGCACAAAACTAATCCAAATCAAATCTCAATTACTAGTATTCAGATTTGATGAAACTTCCCATTTTTACAGAAATTACAAAAGATAATTATCTTGTTAGATTGGTGCAGGATTGATATTGTACAAAAAAATCAAAAACGTTTTCATAATTAGAGATAATTTTTTCTCTTGTCCCTAAAACATTTACAGCCCTTATTTTTTTCATATTTTGAAACATAAAGTTGTACAAAGTTGTTAATTGATCAGCTATGTCGTAATTATAAAGCAAGAGTACTAATCTGTGCAGTATATCCGAAAGTATAGCTGTGCATTATCCAGATTATACTGTTCCACAGAACAGAGGGATTTTGCCTTTATCATGTGTTAAACAGCAAGAAAGGATTCGGTGACCCTATGTAAATTGTATATCAATGAAACGAAAATGTCAGCATGAATACAGATCAAAGTAAATAAAACGGAAATTGTATTTATAAGAAATAAAATTTTATTTTTAAAGAAAATTTGTAGGACAAAGTTTTTGAGAAAAATCAATTTAAAGGTCAAATTATTCACTTTTGTGCATCTTATAAGTTTGTACTGCTTTCTACATAATTATATTTGCTAAAATATCTTCGAAAATATACTATCGCTCTATACTCCATTGTAGACCAGACATGCGATACATATATGCTGTTTTCTTGCATTCCTGTAGGCAGTATCTCAAATTTCTTCCCAGGAAGCCTTATGTTGAGCTCGTCTTTTTTTTTCGCAACGTTGAATATATGAGTGATCCATTTAAGGTTTTCTGAGATTTGTAGGCCTAAGTATGTGTTGTGTTGTACTTGTCATAGTATGTGTCGTTTACACTATAGAATTTCGGGCTTTTTATATACTTACAATGCAGCATTTCTTTGCATTGAACCTCAGTGTGTACCCATACTTTAAGGTTCTTAAAACTTTCTTAAGGCTTTCTTGGAGAATAGCATGATCTTTTGGTTGTCTGTATGGTTTTATCAGTATATAGTATAGACAGATATCGATAAATAGTCGATTTATTCGCATATTGGATTTCCAATTAACGTCCGCTTGAATTTGTCTGGGTGACTTTAATTTAAAAATGTAAATCTGTGCTGCATATCATTGTGTCTTGAAAGTATTCTTCAAATGTATATTGTTTAGCTTCGTTTGTGTACGTAGTCTTTACATGTATATTGTCTAGCTTTGTTCGTGTACGTAGTCGTTAAATGTATATTGGCTAGCTTTGTTCGTGTATGTAGTCTTTAAATGTATATTGTCTAGCTTTGTCCGTGTACGTAGTCTTTAAATGTATATTGTCTTGCTTCGTTCGTGTACGTAGTATTTAAATGTATATTGTCTAGCTTTGTCCGTGTACGTAGTCGTAAAATGTATATTGTCTAGTTTTGTTCGTGTACGTAGTCTTTAAATGTATATTGTCTAGCTTCGTTCGTGTACGTAGTCTTTACATGTATATTGTCTAGCGTTGTCCGTGTACGTAGTCATTAAATGTATATTGTCTAGCTTTGTCCGTGTACGTAGTCTTTAAATGTATATTGTCTAGCTTCGTTCAAGTACGTATATATATATAGTATTGGATTTTTCTGTAAAGTTCACAGGGATTAGTTGTGTGTGTTAGAAATAGATATATTAACGCACAACACCATCATTTTCTATGTAAATGTTATGTTCAGACCATTTATTTAAAAAAAACCATGCCAAATCCTTTCCATAAAAGGTGAATAGGTGATGCATGAATAAAAACACCCCTTACTGATGTATTTTCATCTGAAATCCCATTACTATTGATTAAGTGCATATACTTAATATAACAGAACTATAAAGTAAACAGGAAGAATATTATGATAGGTTAGGGAAAACAAACTTCCTTTTGATATCAATGCAGGTACTTTCTTACACTTTTCTTATTAAATACAGTAGGTTGACGTATGTGGTTCCTCATACCTTAAATGACATCACCAGCTTTTATTGTATTACCTCCCTTGACTCATGCCTCGAAGTTGGGCGTAGCTGATGGATTATTCATACAAGTGTAAAATATTTTGTGTAGTGAAGATGTAACAGGTTGACATAATACGCGATTGATTTTTAACAGGTAAGATTTATGTTATAATTATAAGAAAATTTACTTAAACATCTAGAAATTACACACAATAATTAATGTTGTAAATTATGCACTCTTAAAATAGTTTTCATCGTTTCATTTGGCTATTGATTTCACCCAAACCATAGATGTTTAAAACCTTATATCAATGACAAAACTAATAATTAATGGGGAAATATGAACACAAATTGAAGATTCTCACAATAGAGTTAAAGTCAAGCACAATTACATTCATTGAAAATTACAGAATACCGGATAGTTTAACATTTTATGCAAAATGCATTTGACATATGCATTTGACATTATGTTATTTAAGAATTCATCTTATTATATTAATCCATTAATCCGATTAATGATTATTAGATAAAAAGCGTTTTTGATAATGCCTTCTAACATACTATTGACATATGTTTATTATTAGTGGATTATTTCAGCAGCGTGTGAATGTGAAGATAAATCATTAAACATTTTATTTTTACTGTTGCTTCATCAATACAACGAGGTAGTTCATTCGTTTATTTTTTACATACGGTTTGAACTTGTTGGACTGTCTCCAACAAAATCATATTCGTAATGCATTTCTAAGATTGTTTTGCCTGTAAATTTTTTTAACATGAGTATCTGGATGCCGATTTTGTCAATGTAAAGACGTGTTGGAACTTATAAAATGCAACAGTTGAAGGATAAACCTTTGTGATACTCCAGCATACGTTTCACAAAAAAGATAGAATTTACATAGGAGATGAACAAAATGGGTTCTCTCTCTGTTGTTTTGGGGAGAACGAACACTTTGTAAGCAAATCTCTTTTCTTTTCGTAAAATTAAAGGGATTTGCGTTATTATCTATTCATGAACATGCCATTGGCTTAATATGTTGCACAAATCTATCCAGGGAAATTAACAGCTATAAAGCTATATATATTTTTAGTATGGGATAAAAATGAAACATTACATGTTATAAATATTTTATTCAGTCATGGTCTACTGGTGTCCTCGAACATGTCTCTTCGAGCATATCGAGGCTATCAACCTATCTGTACTCAGTGCCTGAATAATTACAAATCCAGTTTTTAGTGTTATAAAAAATAATGCATTGACTTAATTAGGCTAAATTGACCAAATTGTCTTCAGTACTCCATCACTGGATATGTTACAAATGTTTAATACATTTTCAGTTGAAATGATAAATATAACAATAAGGTCCAGTCTTCCACGTGCAAAGTTCATCGTGCAACTATTTTTTAACTATACTTATACATTACAGTAATAACAACCACATACGACTGCCGCTTCCGAGGCACCCAACAAAATGAATCCCGTCTAGCAGTGTTCGGGTATGTGGTTCTTGTAGGGATATTGTTAATTGGTTCCAAAACTGAAAGTATACACATGCAGATGTCTTAAAAACGTATCGTTTGTTCTTGCATTGGATTTCGAAGCCATGTACGGCGGGAAATTCTTGATTAATCTCTGTCACAAGGAATGTTTGGACTCACAAAGAGGCTCGAAAATATGGGGAAAATAAGGAAGATATAAGCAAACCATCTGAGGTCAACCTTGTTAATGTGAATTAGACACAGAAAAGGGGTTCTGTCAATACTGATAAGTTTAGTAAAGTAAACGAAATATGGGAGATAATGGTTTAAAGTATAAAGGCAAAACAAATATTGACAGCAATTGTGTAAATAAAAATATGCAAATGACGCCTACAACTTCGAACAATACGTCATATGTGTCTTACACATTATTATTAATTGGTTAAAGTGCATCTCAGTTGAATGCACTAGGTACGAATTTATTTAAATGAACCCACACAATTTTTAATATGAATTTGAAACATGTCTGTGTCCAACACCTACAGATTTTTTATTACATATATGATTGTCACCACGCCTAAGGAGGACTTTGATAGAAATATTGAATGGTGACAAATCTGGTTTTGGTTCTTATTTACCTGTGAGATAGGTAAAAATTATATAGATACATATGTCATAGATGACTGCAGGAAATACACAAACAATTTAGAAGTTTGCTGACGGGCGTTGTCTTTATTGTTGCTCACTTATCTTGGCCTTAAGGAAAATCGAATTTCTTTTTTGTGTGCATGCATTTAATTGAAAGTTATCACTTTTAAGGAAACCACTTACTGAAAAGGTAGGCCAATCTGCTGTGGTTATTGTTCGTTGATTTTTGTCAATTATTTTAAAAATTCCAAGTATGCAATGAGGTGGTTAACGATGTATAGTGATTGTACTTAACGTAGTAAATTTGAACTTATTGCAACCATTTAAGTAGTATATTTTAATAGTAATTGCATTTTTGGAGGAAGTATTTCATATGCCTGGTAACCGTAAGTAAAATAGAAATTATGTTTGTTTGTTTGTGTGTGCATGTGCATGTATGATTAAGAATAAGCATTGTTATTCAGCAAATTATGGTACCATTAGGATATGTTACACATAAACAATATGATAAGAAACATTTTGTGAAATAGTGTAGTCAAGTCTTATTGAATTAACATCATTAACATATGCAGTATCTTTACACTTCAATGACATTATGAAAGGAAGAGAGTCTCAATAAAGTGTTGTGTGAGTGTGATATCTTGTAAAAATCAGATTGATTTGTAAGCATCTAGACCTTCTTGGAAGGCCTTGTTAAATACAATATTGCATATTACTTTAATCACCGCCTATTATGCATTGATATTATTTTAATTAATATATATATTTAGCATAATACGTGTATTTGACTGTAACAAACTAAATATACTTCCACCAAACCGTCATAAGACGTAATTCATCAGAAATCAATATATAATTTGAAAAGTCCTTGAAAGAAACTTTGATCGAATTTCTAATCTAAATTTAGTATGTGTGTTGATTTGTTAGTGTAAACAATATTTTATTGTAATAATGATAACATAAACATTACAGACAGTTCAATTAGGATAGGAAAACCAGAGAATTATCACTTCTCGTTATACTACATTACGTAATAAGATGATTTATAAAGGCGGCTTTAAATGTTTACATTGTTACAGGTAACGAAATTATGTATTTGATGTTCCTTTTGATTACCAATAGTTATCTGCATGGTGCCCAAATAAGGAGGTGAATTTTACTTCCTTAACTTTATACTTATACTTCTTACCAATATATGTTATTGGAGGATGCAAAATAATTACCCTTGAAATAGCGGACTAAATTTTTAAGTTTTGTTAAAAAGATATTTCCTTTTCTCTTTCGTTGAAGACCGACCCTTAGTTTGCAATTCCCTATATATATAAACTTAATGCGGTCCTTTCACTGTGCAAGAGGTTGTGTGTGTTTTTTGTGAATCCGTACAGTACATCAGAACACTACTGAAAAGTTGGCATAATATTGAACTGAATCTTTAGTGATAACATAGGGGAGACGTTCCACATAAACCAAGTTTGAAATAAGCTTCTTGTTTATTTTAAACTGTAGTTCTCTTTAATACTGGGTGGAGATATCAGTTAATATTGATTACCTATATATTTAGGGATATACTATATGATGTAACACAATAATCCCTTATAAAATTATAGATTTGTTACGTGATAAACTATTTAGATATTTTTTATTGGGATGAATTTGGTTAAAACTTTATTGTTGGTTGTTGCTTGGTTACTTTTGCTTTATTACCTGGAGGTATTCAGTGGGAAGAAATTACTACCGCCTTCAGAAAACGATATACTGTATTCATTTTTACATAGTTATCATTTTCCGATTGACCTATTTGACATACTTTTATGACTTAATATGTATATTATTAATGTGACTAACGCAAAGAGCATCGACTTTCTTTATGAAGAAGTCAATAAAAATAAAAATGCTATTTAAGGAATGTCAGAAATTATATTGTACCTGTACCTGTGGTCTCAAAATTTGGATACTCAATAATATATCCATTTTATAAAGTTTGGCAACTGAAACACACATGCACTTGTTGCTGTAGTTTTGAAAGTTGTTTGACCAATTTCCTCTGAATTTGTTTTAATCACGGAAGGGGGGGGGGGGGCAAACATTCAGCTATTATATACATTTCTTTTGTTTCAGCAAGCATATTCTTGTATTTACTTGACGTCCAGTTTTTCTAATTTATGAATTGAAATAAGTGTATATCAGTTTTAGTCGATGCATTGATACGAATTAATTAAGGTGTTTAACATAAAGCCCTCTCTTTCAGTTTGCAATAAAGACACAGCAAGATGGCCACCACTAACATGACCTCAATGATGGTAAATACTACTACTGTGGATCCTTTTGATATTAGTGTATACAAATGTAGTCATGTAGGACTTATGCTTCCTGCAATTTCAGAATATACATGGTCAAAATCAGCACGTATATTCTTGTATTTAATTGGAATGTTGTGGTGTTTCCTAGGTGTTGCAATACTTGCGGATGTATTCATGTGCTCTATTGAAAAGATAACCAGCAAGACGGCGAAAGTAAGAATTCCAGATGCTAACGAGTCAAGCGGGTTCCGAATCCTACGAGTGAAAGTATGGAATAATACAGTGGCCAATCTCAGTCTGCTAGCATTGGGTACGAGTGCACCAGAAATTTTGCTTTCGTGTATTGAGATTATATTTAACAATTTTGAGGCGGGAGAACTCGGACCAAGTACTATAGTAGGCTCAGCTGCTTTTAATTTGCTAGTTATCTCCGGAATCTGCATTATGTGTATTCCAGATGGAGAGGTACGTCGTGTTCAGAGTATGAAAGTCTTTGCTGTAACGTCTTTCTGTTGTATTTGGGCCTATGTTTGGTTAATCATAGTGTTGATTGTATGGACCCCTAATATTGTTACTATTGAAGAGGCTGTCCTCACGTTGTTGATGTTTCCTGCACTGATCCTAGTAGCATACTTAGCTGACAGAGGATTTTGCCTGAAGAAAAAGGAACTTGAGCAACCTTCGATGGTGGGATTTAAAATGCATGGTTAGTTTTTAATTCTTTAAGGGACTAGTTTGAGTTAACATACTTTTTTATTTGTATACCTAAAATCATGTGCCATAGAATTTATTATTCTCTTTTAAATGCATATTACACTCGTATATGGGACAAGCAAGCAAGAGCAGATACATAATTGGAAATGGAACTGGCCAATGTCAACGTGGACCTTTAGATAAATACTCAATAGTAAGAGGTGCAATGTTTTTGAAGTAAAGCTATATATGCACGATGTTCCATTGTTTAGGGAAATTAGTAGGAGATAGCTGTGTATAACTGTTAAGTATCTAGTAGTATATTGTCAATTATCTAAATCATTGTAATAAATTACTTTGCTCTTCATGGGCCCTTTAATTGGATTAAAATATCTTATCATATCTTATACTCAGGACCTAAGACTCGATTTCTTAGGAAATCTGAAACTGTTTTTCAGTGTCAAAAAATTTATTTAGAGTTTACATTAAATAATCAGAGTTGGATTATTCAAAGTAATATTAATTGATTTATTATTTTCTAGCTGAAAAGGGTGATGAGGAAAGTCAAGCTCTTGATAAAGATTCTGATGAGGAGGACAATGCTGAGATAATGCGTCTGTGCAAGGTAATACACTTGGATCAGAAAATTGCACATCTTAGTTATATTTAGATGAGTCGGGTCAGAGAAATATATTACATTTTGTGTTATGTGCCTCTGCTTAGATGCAATGCTGGTTAACAAACGAAAATGCAGTCATTGACATATTGAACGATATTTTCCCCTAGCTCAGCTTAACATCACTAGGGCCATTTTATATGCCTATACATGTTACCATGAATATATTTTTTTAGACTGGCAAGATGTGCTCTGGGTAGCTTGTCCCATATACTAAATAGTATAAGAGAGTTCTTTGATCTCAATAACTTATGTTATTGACATATTAAAAAACATGGAGTAATCTTGAAATTGTTAAAGTGGAGAGTTAATTACAGAAATATATATTTTTTTGTAATATTTAGAATTTAGAATTCTATTATTGTTTTTAGGAACTTGGACATGATGTAAAAGATGAAGGATTACCACCAGAAGAAGCAGCACAAATGGCTGCCAGAAAGATGACCATGGAGCAAAGTCATAGTCGATTATGGTACAGAATAAATGCAACAAGGACATTTGGTGGCAGAAAGAAGCTCATACCTAGAGTACTCGGAACTTTCCAAGAGGTACATACCATTAAATACCAACATTAATACAACTGAGCTTAGCATTGATCTGTTTTAAAAAGAGTGGTTTCCAACCCCAGGAACCCCCCCCCCCCCCCTCCTGGATCCGCCAATGAATGGTATTAAACCATTGATATCTATGTGCATGGGTAGCTGTAATGATTTCCTGGTCAACAAGTTTAGGTCAGTTGACATTAGAAGGGCACTATAACTTTTATTTCTTCTTTGATTTTACAGTAAGAAAGTTGTTGAAGTTATCCTTGATTATGGGAGGCCTTAACTATAACTTTTAATTGTTTTTAAACAAACAATAGATTACCAGACCATGATATCATGTCATAACAAAAACAGCTTAATATAGGATGGACTGCTAAGTTTAACATAATATAAATAATAGACATTCTTTGATATCCATTGAAAATATGGAGACCATTTTATTCCAGTAATATGCAAATGAATTGGGAGTATCACTTTAGCTCTTAAATTTTGGTTGACTGCATGCTTCTTTTATCAGCATCCCTTAGATTGATTGATTGTTGGTTGCTTAACATCCAGTGGCAAATATTTCAGGACAAATCAGCCATTAGATAATTCAGTGGAGTATAAAATCTTTGAATAATAACGAGCTTTTAAATTGGATTCTCAATAAATAGAAATTGACATCTTTTGAAATGTTTTATATTGAATAATTACCAAAACTTTGATAAGTATTGTTATGCCAAACCATGTATTGATTGGTTTTTAGTGTCCAGCTAATTTTATCTCCCACAGTTTTTGGTAGGGGTTGTGTTGTTTTTTTCTTTTTCTACTTACAATGGTATTTCCTTTTTAAAGATTTATGATTTTTGATTTCACTTTGGTTTCTTATCTGCACTCTTTTTTCATCCTTAAGTCCATGTTGAATGACCCACACAAAACACAATTGAGTTGATGACTACTAGCATTGATTTTTTTTTTATGAAGATGTGGTCTTATAATGAACCACAATAGATTCTAGCACAAATATAATAAAATATTTATAGGTCATTAACTCTTTGTATGAGGGGATGGACAGGGGGATTTCCACTTTCCTACCCCAACTCCCACTTCCCTCACCCTTACTCCCAGACAAAAATCGGTCAAAAATATTTTCCCAGAATACCCCAATTTTTACTCCCCCTCTTCCCGCCCCTGACTTCCACTTCCCTCCCCCTGACTCCCGCTTCCCTTCCCCTCATTCCCATGTTCACTCACCCCTGCCCACCCCCTCTTGTGTATTGCTATAGTTATCTCAAAAAGATTTGCCAATTTTGAGATGACTCCTCTCTGTAAATACTGGATGATGTAAGTGAGCAGAAATGACTGAATTATTTGTTATATACAAAAAAGAGTTTAAAAAATATATGAAATAATTTCTTGTGTAGATTTATGACCACATTCAAACTCCAGAAGAGGAGCGCGGAGATTTGGCAGTAACAAAGAAGAAAGATCATTCTGAAGGTGGAACAAGGGCCGTAGTTGAGTTCACTGCTGCTGAGACAGCTGTATTGGAGTCTGAAAAAAGGGTCAGAATTGGTATTCGTCGTCATGGAAAAGTAGGGATACCTTGTACTGTCAGGTAAAATTCTATTTCTTTTTTAACCCTGTTTAATCTTATTGAACTTAGACATGAAAATAAAGTTATGTTTAAACTAATAAATAAGGAAATGGCCATTTAACTTTGAGAAGGGGGGGTTATGGTTTTTATTTAAGTGCTATTTTAAAAAAAAAATAGATCAAAATTAAATTTAATGGCAAATACATTCAATCATTATTGTATTTTTTTTATAGATAACAAAACCATAGCCCTCCTCAGGGTTAAATGTTCGTTCCCTAAGTATAACCAGATATATTGAATAGTAAAATGATTTGCTGATAATTATACATTATTTCTGAATCTTGATTGAGCATTTAACGGTACTATTACAGGGTAGAAACATTGAACGGTACTGCTGTCGCTCACGAAGATTATATTCCATTTGACCAAGAGGTGAAGTTTGCAGAAAACGAAGAACTACGACAGGTTTTTATTGAAATTGTTGATGACAATGAGTGGGAGCCAGATGAATTCTTTTTTGTCAAATTACACGTGCCAAAGACAGATACTGGTGAAGAACAACATGTTAGTCTTGGAAATATGGCAATTACACAAGTCATTATAATCAATGATGATGGTATATATTTAATTTATTAACTATTTTAATTCATATTCATAAATAAATTAAATGATTAAATTTCTGGTATACTTATTTACATAGTTACATAGCTCTAATTTTATACCTTTTATATCAATATAACTAGGCAAATGTCGGATTATGTCTATTTAAAGTTTTTATATAATAATCATTTATACAGATCAACTCAGATGATTGATACAGCGTTTTAATATCTTCATTAAAAAAAATTTCAATAAATTTATTTAAATTTTTTTCTCACAGAACCTGGTAAACTGGAATTTCAGAAGCCAAGTATCATTGCCCAAGAGAGTGGACGAAAAGTTCGAGTTCCAGTGCAAAGAACAGGCGGAGCAGATGGTCATGTGTCTGTTAAATGGAGTACAAAAGACATCACAGCTGTTACTGGTGCTGACTATGAAGGTGGAGATGGAGAACTGAAGTTTGATCACGGAGAAACAACAAAAACAATCGACATTGTTATCCATGATAGTAAGGTATGTCAACTTTGTGGGGAAATAGTTTCCACATTTTTAAAAATTCAATCACTTTATTTGCTAAAAATCGACATATGTTTAATACTAATTATATTCTAGCTTCCGGTAGCTATGCCTATAAACATCCTTTGAAAATTTGAAACATTTTATATTTCTTTTAGAAAAAAGAAAGAGATGAAAGTTTCCAGATTACTTTAGGAGAGTGTGATGGTGGAGCTGTTTTGGGAAAAATCACCAAGACAATAGTCACTATTGTAATTGACGAAGGTTTGTGTTTAACAGATACTTATCTAGACATAACTAATTGACTGACAACTCTGTGTTTGCAAAGACAGAAGTTTGTTTATCATTTATTAGAAAAGTTTAATCTACCTTGTATCCTACATACTTTAAAAAGTAATTTTTCGTGAAAAGTGAACATTTATATGATGGTGTATTTGAGTTTATAAATTGTAAATGGAACTAAAAATATTAAAACAACAGCTTACATTTATGTTGACATTATGTTCATTTGCCCTGATTCCAATTGTAATAACAAAGATGATGATGGGGATTTTTAACGGCCTTGACTGGCTATAAAGCCCTCGCACGGTTCATAATCACAAAGAACACACAATTGAATGTTAAGAATGAATAAGGGGGCAACCATTTAACTTCAAGGGTGGGGGGGGGGGGGGGGGGGTTATGTTTTTTTTGTCTGTCAGAGTCTGAACATTTTTTCAAACATTTTTATTTTTTTTTATTTTTAGTTTTTCGATGCTATCAATCAAATTTTTTTTCTTTAAGGAATGACTGTAATATTTTTTCTGTCTATGAAGAAATAACATCAAAAATGTGGTGCACACTGAATAACCCGCGTAGCGGGTTATTTTAAAGGGTGCACCACATTTTTGATGTTATTTCGAATAGACAGAAAAAATATTACAGTCATTTCTTATAATTTAATTCTAAATTCCATTTTAAACCGGAGTAAACCATGAAAAAACGTTGAAGACGTCACGGTCACATGACAAAATTATGTCTATGAGCTGATAAACAAAACAACGTCAGCCAATCAGAAGACGTGTTACATCCAAAATTAAATTATTCAAAATTTAACACTATAAGGTATGGGGAAAATCTTGATTCAGAATTTTTTTTTTGTCATCTGCTTGACCACAATACTGTTTTTTCATCAAATTGAGGATCAGAATTAAAGCTTGAGGACATAATATTTTATGCAAGTTTCAAATACAATGTAAATACATTTGACTTTTCAGGGAATATGGGTCACACATTGTTTAGTAGTCTTTTTTAAAAAGTTTGAAATTGGTATGAACAAACTATTATCAGAGACATATAAACATATATACACATATATATGTCTCTGCTATTATCAAAATTGTAATTTAATGGTCATCTCTCTGATTTCAGAATTCAACGGTCTTGTTAGCAGAATCATGAATCTCACCAAAGCCAACATGGATGCCCTTCAAATTGAAGAATCATCCTACCCTGCACAATTTGTGGAAGCATTAAATGTTAATGGTGGTGACTTGCAGGGAGCTACTGTTTTGGACTATATCATGCATTTTATGACTTTTTTCTGGAAGGTATGTAAAATAGGTCTTCCAACCAATTAACAAATAATAAATGAATAAGCATCTTTGACTCTGTAAAAACTTATATAAAAAATACCTGGCTTATGATTAGGTACACCAGAGTGACCAGACTCACATATAATAAAAAAAGAAAAGATATGGGGTATCCATCCATGAAACAAAATCAGTCTGTGCACATAATAATCTACAAAGGACTTAGTGGCATAAACGCTTGGTAATTGTTTTTTTCAAACTATTTTGTATAAAGCTCTTTTATATTTATAAATCAACTGTATTGATTTGAGAATAATTTAAAAATCTGTGACACATTCACTACCATAATTTTAAAAACAAGTTTTTATTTTGGTTATGGTCTTGATGGTAAATGGTGAGATTAAATAATATTATTAATATTGATAGCCCTTCCTTACACAAAAAAGACGAGGATAAAACAAATATTTATATGAAAGATGCTAAGATGTTCCATTAATAATTTTGAATAGACAATATTTATTAGCACAAACACATTTACAATAAATGGTTAGAAGCATGATTAAGTACAAACAATAAATGAAGAAGCTAGAAACTGTAATTTTAGAAGAAATATGTTGAGCAAGCTGACCATCCAAGACACAAATATTTAAATTTGAACAACTTTGTTAGCCACCCCTATATTGTGTAATTTTACAATCGAATAAAATGAGATTGATACTTTTTTCTGTAGGTATTGTTTGCTTTTATTCCACCATGTAAATACCTTGGAGGATGGCCAACATTTCTTATCTCTCTGGCTGTGATTGGTTTTATGACAGCTATCATTGGTGACCTTGCTGGTATTTTTGGATGTTTAATTAATCTTCCTAATCCTATCACTGCCATCACGTTTGTTGCCTTAGGAACCAGTATGCCCGATACCTTTGCCAGTAAGACAGCAGCCATTAATGAAAAATCTGCTGATAGTTCTGTTGGTAATATCAACGGAAGTAACTCTGTCAATGTGTTCCTAGGTTTAGGCTTACCATGGGTGTTTGCCTCAATATATCATGCTGTAAAGGTAAGATATGTATTGATTTAATGTTAAACTGTTATAGTATATATAAAAAAAATGTATATCATATAGCAAAAATAAGTACGCCATGAATGATTCAATATTTCTGAAGACTACACAAGTATTACATGTATTTGCATTTATAAATTTGATATATCCTGCATATTTTCCTTCAATAACGTGTGTTGGGGTTATTGATAAATATATAAATGTACTTCTTATGTCGAAATTGGAGACTGTCTTTGCTTTCTGTAAGATAAAGACTTTTTAGAATTATCATGATGAATAGCAGCAATAATAATATTTTTTACAAATATCGAATAATGCAAAATAGATTGGTATATTTTTTTTATTATGAATGATACATGTTTTTTTTCGTTTTCAGACTGGTGGCAAATTTGCAGTTAACGCTGGTTCCTTAGGATTTTCTGTTGTTATCTATACAGGCTGTGCAGTTGTAGCTATTGGACTCTTACTGCTACGTAGATTTACAGGTGTATTTGGAAATGCAGAACTTGGTGGACCAAAAATCCCCAAAATTATCTGTGGAATTATTTTTATATGCCTTTGGGTTTTCTATGTGGTTATGTCATCAATGCAAACAAAAGGCTACATTAAAGGATTTTAAACTTTTAAATACCTAGTACTATACATAGGGTAATATTTTCTTTTAGAACATTAATTTACAACTGGTGTTGAGAAGAGTACAATTATACATGCTATGTTGCTTTCCATTGGGTGTTTTGGTTTCTGAAAACTTCTGGTTGTATTATAGGCAGTATTGCCTTGTGGTAACACTATTTTACATTAGTTCTTTAACCTTCATGATGAATGGATGAGTCTTGCCCTGGATGTGTATTTTTGTATATTTGAAATACGTCCTACCTCTAAGATGTGTATATATTTTTGTCTATTTATTTTGCCATGAACATGACATTAAAAAAATTTGTCTAGAACATAAACATGATACCACTTTCCAGTTATGGTCAAATTTCATTCCTCATTTTATTTCTTCACTTTTATGTCTCAGATTTATAAGAATATCTCTTTCTTTCCTTCTCTTTTTTATTTTGTATTTTTTCTATCATTTTTATCTTCATATATTTTTGTCACTTATTATTTAATAACTTTTTTTAATTCTTTTTTCAATCATGACATTATGACATTGTTCTTTTTATTTTATTATATGTTAGTTTTTCTTTTAATACATGCATTTTAGCAGATGAAAAATACATCTGTTTTGATCTTACTGTCATCTTTGTATAATATTAGTTTTACACACTGTTATTGTGACATCAGGTATTACCAAATTTTGGGCACTGTTTTAGGAGCCTTTGGGCAAGACTAATTCTTAGACTATTAAACTATAGAAAACCTTTGTGGTTTTTTTTGCTTGCCACTTTCAGAAGTTTGTCCCCCCCCCCCCCTCTTCCTTTTTAGTTCACTCCTTAGCTTCTATTGGGTGTGTAATTGCATAATAATGAGTTACAGAATTAGATTTCATTTCAATAAGGTTGAACTAATTTTATTATATGGATTTAAAATTTTTAAATGAAGATTATAGTTTTTTTTTTATCTCTTGCCTTCACCATTAGCTAGGTTATGGTTACATTATAACATTATTGGTAAAGATCAAATGTAGTTTTTGTTTAAGTTAACTTACTTTTAACAGAATTGTCAATTTTTACCCTATCTTTCTGTGGGTGGGAACATATTCATGTTATTCTAACAAATTATGATTTCAGATATTTTTCTGTCAAAAAAGTTTTGAATGCATTGGATAATTCCCTTTTAAACCAATTTGCATCAACATTTTCATATAAATCTGGGAACCTGGGCATTGACATTAAAAAATGAGGTGTAGAGACACTGTTTTATGGTCCCATATAATATTATATTAATTATATATATGGTTGTTATGTGACCGGTGCAAGAGTGCTTATATTTACACAATTTTTGTGTGTATTTTATGTATATATGACATGTAATATATTATGCTTTATATTTTTATATATTCACCTTTGATGTAATTTAATAATATAGATAAAAGTAGAAAATTAGTCATGTGACGGTTTACCTTAGTATATAAAGAAATATAATGTTTGACATCATGAACTCTTTTTTAGATTTTTGTTTTTTATTTTATTTGATCAAAAATTCAAAGGATGAAATGTATAATTTTTACATAATTATTATGAAACAGACTGGCTTTGGCGTGTAAAAATTTGTTCTTTCCACAGCCATTTCCTTTTTCAGATTACTTCTCCTTAGGGCCGTTGGAACTATCGCTATCATTTGCCGTCCACTAACTCTTTACCCTGGTACATTTTCATGTTGTCCTCTGGAACAAACTGGGCAGAAATGATAAATAGAAAGCCCCTTTGAAGATAAAATCCTCATTACTAACTATATTTAGGAGAAAAACCTTTCAAGAATGAAAAGAGTCTATTTTTTTTTATTTTGGCTGGTCAATTACCAAATTTTTTTTCTTCTGTAACTGCAAAGATCAACATTTTTTTTTTGGGAAAGTAATAAGGAGACTATAGAACCATCCGTCATCAAATATTAGACCACTATGAAAAATATTTAAAATTTGGATTATTTTAAATATCAAGTACTAGAAGTCTAAATAAGAATGGTGCAAGGCTCATCAGACAATTGCCATATTTAAAATGACCGTATTTGCTTTCTTCCCAACGATTTATCAAACTGGTTGGATTTAATATTATCCTTTTGCACATGTTTGATTTAACCACGGATTTGTATAGTATCCTTGATTTAACAGTGCCTGATATGTGTTTTTATTATAGAAAAAGATATGTTATAATTATACATCACCTAAGTCAGAGGTGATCAAGTCTATCAAAGGGCTTCTTAGTTTATGCCTTACATTTATTTTTTACAATTGCAGTTTTGTGAATGATACATGGTAAATTGTACATGAATTTATATGCATTTAGTTTTTGCCTACAGTAAAATAAATATATAAATAAAATGTTGTGTGTTCGTGTCTTATTCCCTTTTCTTACGGCACAGAAAGTTTAATACAGCTTTTTGTAGTATCAGCATTAAGAAGTTTATTTCTTATGCTAATAATCTTTTAAGAGATGTTACTCGATGTAAAAAAAAAGAGTCTATGATTTATTTCAAAGACAATATTATTTCTACAAAGTTGAAACAAAAATTCTTAAATTCATAGTAAAACAGCTCTGAACATTTATTAAAAATTCATAAGTTCATACAGTAAAAGATTGTCGGGGATCTTTGGATTACTTTTGGCAGCAAAAGTTAGTTTCATTTATGCAGGCATTATCTTACAGAAATTTAAAGAAGACAAAAATATTATAATTAACTTATTTGTGGACAAGTATTTACAAATCTCTTTTATGTCTGTACAACACCTAAGGTCAACTACAAACACGTATTGCCGGATCTCAATATTGACGACTTTAAGTTTAACCCTAGTGTAAGTTATCTTTAATACATAATCCGTCTTGACACGTTACAAATGGCGTCCTTAACCTGGGACATGATATATTGCTAGTTGTCCTCATCCCAGCTTTATCATAGTCTTCGGAATATGTTAGCAAAACGGTCGAAATACCGTGAACATTAACCAGGCTTAAAATGGGGAAAAAAAACGTTTAAAATGCATAATGGTTCTGTCCAGGATTCTGCCAGAAATCTAAGAAATTAGACGTGATAATTTTTCGAAATGGGTGGTTGTTACAAATTATAATTGTAATGTAAAAACTTAACTATAAATGGTCTATCAACACTAGTGAAAAATCAACCAATCACTAATACCCAAAAGTTGCAAGTCACTTGTCTCACATCTATGATAAATAAGTAGCCAATGCATGCACATCATAAAAAAACTGCCTAATAATAGAATTTAGGAACTGACCATCCCCTCGGAAACCCGTGCAACATATACAACAGAGACACTTCCCACAGTGGAAATGATGGACAACCATGGTACTTATTCTCGTCCTTGAACCAACGGACCCGTTTACTTAACGGGTATGTCCGTTAAAGGTTATTTTTTGTATAGTTTTCATGTACAAGTATGAGATCAGGTCGATTTAAGGGGAACTGCTTTGTATTTGATATGCAGTTGTATAAGCATAAGGATATCTCGTGTCTATGGAGATAATTTGGCCCTCCGCCTTCAGCCATTGACGACATAGTTGACTAGCCTGGTAGCCCGATCCTATCTAATACTTCGCAGTCGAATACTGTCGAGCAGTGAGCCAGGATGCCAGGCTAATAGGTGATAACCTTGACATTTTAATTTAACATTTGTATTATATTATTAAAATAACAAACGGGCGAGACATATCCGTGCATCAACATTTTTTATTGTTAAAATATTTTGCTTTCATATCAATCCCTGGAAGAAAAAACCCTCTCAAGTTTTCAAATCGGTGCCTGGTGGCTTGTAGTCCCAGTCAATCTATGCAGGAATTCACAAATTTGCAACAGAAACTACTTGAATGATTTTTGTGCCCAGCCGTGTTTCATCATGACATTTGATTTACTTAAAATCTACCAAGTTAAAAGTAGTGGAAATAGATAGTTTGGGTAAAAATAATCGTTTTCAAGTTTCCTAAAAAAAAAAATCATTGAAAACTTGGAAATTTTAATATTTATGTTATTGATGGAGCGGCATCTTTTATTATAATATACAAACTGTATTTGAAACATCACAAACATGATTGTATAAGGAAACTGACAAAAAAAACGGAAAGTTTTATTTTGAGACAAAGATCTCCGAAAATATGAAACCGGAAATGTGTGCTAATTGTATCTTTATTCTAAAGATAATAATGATGATTGAATACGGAAATTGAAACTGAAAAATTTCATGACCAAAAATTATTATGTTGAGTCAAAACTAATATTTTCATCGTGAAATCTTCGAAAACAGGAAACCGGAAAATTTGTCCACATTGAGATTGAATTGTCAACAAAAAAAAACAACAACAGTTGGAAATTACTTTATTCATCAGATTGGCATGCACGAAGCACAAAAAATGTTCGAGTTTAAATTCTACTTCCACTTAAAATTAGATATAATATTATAGTCAAATAAAATTCGAATTCTGGAAAGGACAACATTTCGAATGTTTCTTATAAAAAGCTTTTAAATGGAATTATTCCAATGTTTACCCTGTCAACGTTGGTTTACAAGCTATTTGATTCTCCAACTCATCGAATTAAGTGTCTAAAATCATTCTGTTTTTAGCATACCCTCTTGAATTTCGTTATATTAAACAGTAATTAATCCCAAATGTTTTCTTTAAATAACCATTATATAAGTGTGAATTTGTAAAATCCAATTTTGTCAGTTTCCTTATACAATCATCATTTTTTTGTGATGTTTCAAAACAGTTTGTATATTATAAGAAAAGATGCCGCTCCATCAATAACATAAATATTAAAATTTCCAAGTTTTCAATGATTTTTTTTTTTAGGAAACTTGAAAACGATTATTTTTACCCAAACTATCTATTTCCACTACTTTTAACTTGGTAGATTTTTAGTAAATCAAATGTCATGATGAAACACGGCTGGGCACAAAAATCATTCAAGTAGTTTCTGTTGCAAATTTGTGAATTCCTGCATAGATTGACTGGGACTACAAGCCACCAGGCACCGATTTGAAAACTTGAGAGGGTTTTTTCTTCCAGGGATTGATATGAAAGCAAAATATTTTAACAATAAAAAATGTTGATGCACGGATATGTCTCGCCCTTTTGTTATTTTAAGTATAATACAAATGTTAAATTTAAATGTCAAGGTTATCATCTAGTAGCCTGGCATCCTGGCTCACTGCTCGGCAGTATTCGACTGCGAAGTATTAGATAGGATCGGACTACCAGGCTAGTCAACTATGTCGTCAATGGCTGAAGGCGGAGGGCCAAATTATCTCCATAGACACGAGATATCCTAATGCTTATACAACTGCATATCAAATATAAAGCAGTTCCCCTTAAATCGACCTGATCTCATACTTGTACAGGAGTTTTGTATTAGCACTAAACTGATTAGTGATTTTATAAAATCTCTGATTTGAATAGAGATTTTACAAAATCACTAAAATCACTAAAATAATTAGGTTTTTTTTCTTACAGATTCTCTGATTTAATTCAGGGAATTTTAAAAAATCAATTACTTTTTGTTTAATGAAATACCTTGAAAAAAATGAAAAAAAGAATTATAGCAGTATGAGATTTATTTGTCCTTATATTGAACCAATACTAAGTAAGCAGTTTTCACTAAACAACTGACATACTGTAGAACAAGAGGCTCTGAAGAGCCTGTGTCGCTCACCTGATTCTACTTTTGTTTTGGAAATCATATTAAAATAGATTAAAATCATAACAGAAACCCTAATAATGAGTGAGGCCTAATTTGGTTTAATATTGGCCCTGTAATTTGATAAAAAAATCCTGGTGGCCATCTTGAACAGTAAATCAGCAACAAAGTAGCAACACTTCATCAGCATCTCATAAAAAAACATTTATGCCATGTTTGGTTTCATTCCAATCAGTGCACCTCTAGAAGAAGACATTTGTATGTATTTCCAATAGGGTCTTAGGTTAAAGGAAGTCCCCCAATGGCGGCCATCGTGGATAAAGGATCAGCTTCAAAGTAACAACACTAAGTCAGCACCTCAACAAGGAACATTCATGCCATGTTTGGTTTCATTCCATTCAGTGATTCTCTAAAAGAAGACATTCGTATGTATTTCCCATAGGGTCCTATGTTAAACTAAGTCCCCCGCTGGTGGCCATCTTGGATGATGGATCGGCTGCTTCAAAGTAACAACACTTGGTCAGCACCTCATAAGGAACATTCATGCCATGTTTGGTTTCATTCCGTTCAGTTGTTCTCTAAAAGAAGACATTCGTATGTATTTCCCATAGGGTCCTATGTTAAACTAAGTCCCCCGCTGGCGGCCATCTTGGATGATGGATCGGCTTCAAAGTCACTACACTTGGTCAGCACCTCATAAGGAACATTCATGCTATGTTTGGTTTCATTCCATTCAGTGGTTCTCTAAAAGAAGACATTTGTATGTATTTCCCATAGGGTCCTATGTTAAAATAAGTCCCCCGCTGGTGGCCATCTTAGATAATGGATAGGCTTCAAAGTAACAACACTTGGTCAGCACCTCAAAAGGAACATTCATGCCATGTTTGGTTTCATTCCGTTCAGTGGTTCTCTAAAAGAGGACATTCGTATGTATTTCCCTTCGGGCCAGGTGAGCTAAAAATTGGCTTAGACAAAGAAGGCTTAAAATCATCAGGAAACAAATATACAAAAGTTGCTTCAAATAACTGAGGGACAATTAAAATGTAATATATAAAACCTGGAAAAATATGAGGAAATTGTTAATGTCTTGCTAAAGAACTACAGAAAGAAGACATGCGGCCCTACCCGGACACATTATTCCGACTCAAACTCTTGAAACTCGTCAAATATTATGATCTTAGGGTTTTCATGTTTGATCAATAAAAAGGAAATATTAAAATCGAATACATTGTAAGTGTTTTCATATTAAACCTGCTTTTCAATAGATAGATACGCAACCAGGCAAAGTAGTTCACCTTGATAATTTGATAATTTTTGTCTCAATGACATTTTCTAAGTTGCATCACTATCAGTACACATCAATTTGATGACAATTTCGAGGCTCTCCCCCCTAGGTCATGGTCCAGTGACATTGAATAACTAGTAATTAGCAATTTTCAATGTTAAGTTTTCTGCGTTAAGTCAGTTTGATAGACTTCTTGTGATAGATCAATGATATTTTTTACAAAGTTGCATTACCATCAGTACATATAGTTTGACGACTATTTCGAGGCCCTGCCTCCGTAGGTCATGGTCTAGTGACTGTAAATTAATTAGCAATATACAATGTTAAGTTTTCTGCTTAAGTTAGTTTGATAGGAACTTTATTGATAGACAATGATATTTCTATAAAGT